TCGATCTCTTTAGCTATGCTCAGAGCTTGCTAAAGGAATTCGATTGCCTTCTCGAAGTTGCTGAAATCCCGAAAAGTAAGGGCCAAATTTCTGTACATAAATCCTTCCAACGCTTTGTTCCCAGTTTCTTTTGCGAATACAAGAGCCTTCTCCCCGAACTCGAATGATGTGTTGAGGTCACCGAGATGGCGATACAAATGACCAAAGTTCGCATATGCATGTCCTTCTAACTTTTTGAGTTTGATCTCTTTACTGATGTTAAGCCCTTTTTGAGAAAACTCCGCTGCCTTTTCCAAGAGACAGAGATTGTTATACACCCTACCAAGGCTTATATATGCTATCCTTGTGAAGCTCTGCCTCCGGACATTTTCGTAATGCTCAGACTTTTCTGCAAAAGCTCGATTGCTTTTTTGTAATCGCCGAGATTTCAATACAGTTCCCCAAGGTTGAGATACTCTTCACCCTCTGATAATCCATCTCCAATCAGTTTTGCGATACTAACTTTCTTCTGATGGAAATCGACTGCTTTTGAGACATCATAGAGATAATTATACGCAATACCAAGGTTCTCATACGCCCTTCCTTCTGACTCTTTGTCTCCGACCTCTTTAGCGATAGCTAGTCCTTGCTGAAAGAACTCGATTGCATCTCTGAAATCACCGAGAGAGTCACAGTACACACAACCAAGCACGTTGTAACCCATTTTTTCTGATTTTTTATTTCCAATCTCTTTTGCGATACTGACATTCTTCTGATAGAACTCGACTGCTTTTGGGAAATCATAGAGAGAAGAATACGCACCACCAAGGTTCCAATACGCCCTCTCCGCTGTCTCTTTGTCTCCGACCTCTTTAGTGATAGTTAGACCGTGCTGATAGAACTCAATTGCTTTTCTGTAATCACCGCGGGAGTCATACATACAGCCAACATTGACGTACACCTTTTTTTCTAATTTTCTATTTCCAATCTCGTTTGCGATATTGCCATTCTTCTGATAGAACTCGATTGCGTTTGGGAAATCACAGAGAGAAGAAGACACCTCACCAAGGTGCAAATACGCCTTTCCTTCTAACACGTTGTCCTCGATCTCTTTAGCGATAACTAGACCTTTCTGATTGAACTCGATTACTTCTCTGAAATCACAACGAGAGTTATCCAAACATCCAAGCTTGATGTAACCCATTGCTTCGGATTTTTTATTTCCAATCTCTTTTCGATACTGACATTCTTCTGATAGAACTCGATTGTTTTTGGGAAATCATAGAGAGAAGAATACGCAATACCAAGGTTCCAATACGCCATCCTTTCTGTCTCTTTGTCTCCGACCTCTTTAGCGATAGCTAGACCCTGCTGATGGAACTCGACTACTTTTCTGAAATCACCGCGGGAGGAATACACCCAGGCAAGGTTGATGTATCCCTCTTCTTCCGATTTTTTATCTTCAACCTCTTTAGGGATACTGACATTCTTCTGATAGAACTCGATTGCTTTTGAGAAATCATAAAGAGAAGAATACGCAATACCAAGGTTCCAATGCGCCATTATTTCTGTCTCTTTGTCTCCGACCTCTTTAGCTATAGCTAGACCTTGCTGAAAGAACTCGATTGCTTTTCTGAAATCACCGAGGTCGTCACAGTACACACCGCCAAGGTTGATGTATTCCACTTCTTCTGATTTTTTATTATTAGTCTCTTTTGCGATACTGACCTTCTTCTGATGGAACTCGACTGCTTTTGGGAAATTATAGAGAGGAGAATACGCGATACCAAGATGTTCATGCGCCTTTCCTTCTGACTCTTTGTCTCCAACCTTTTAGCGATGACTATATACCTTCTCTCTGATATTCAAACCATTTTATTAATTTGTAGAGTCAAGTAGACTCGTAATCGATCACAGCCACATAAGTGGCATCTGTATCTGAACTGCGGGTGTAGTGAGCCCTTCTAAATTCCCTACGAAGATGTTTAGGCCCAGGAATAAGCGGCAGTTAAAGGACGTACTATCAAATCAGCAGTCCTTCATATACTTTCTTTAAAGCCCACCTTACACTGCTGTTACAAGTCTTTTTGCCCTTACAATAAGTGATCGACAACGCTGACCACCTCATACATAGATACCTTCTCTCTGATATTCAAACCATTTTATTAATTTGTAGAGTCAAGTAGACTCGTAATCGATCACAGCCACGTAAGTGGCATCTGTATCTGAACTGCGGGTGTAGCAGTGAGCTGTAATGCACAAAGCCTTTACTTCGGAAGCATGATGCGTATTACTCGAATCACACCATGTTGGGCTGGGAAGTTTTGCTTGCGGAATCCGGAATCAGGGAAATGTCGCTTGTGTAATACAGAATTATGGGTTTTAGAATCCGGAATCCAGCTCAAGGAATCCGGAATCCCACAAACGACTGGAATCCGAAATCCAAGTTCCAGTAAAAAAATGAGGAATCCCGTACTGGAATCCGGAAATCCACGGCGTGGAATCCAGAAACCAAGACCGTCTTGCATTTCCTTACATGCATGGGACGACTCGTAAACCCGAACTCAAAATCCACCTTGAAATCCACCTCGAAATCGTTTCTTCAAATCCTAACTCGGTAAATAGATAACCTCCTAACAAACAAATCTCTTTGTTTAATTTGTGCCATTATCAAACTGTGACTTTTTTCTGCAGTAATTTACATTTTTCAACCAAAGATGTCGACAATGATCTTTATGACCCTGACAATTGCGCTGTTTTACTCAGTGGAGCATGGTGGTACCATTCCTGCAGTTGAGCCAATCTAAATGGTTTGTATCGTCGAGGATCTTACAACACCAGCTACTTGCCCCATGGAGTAAAATGGGTCACGTTTAGAGGACAGTATTATTCTTTGAAACGCACTGAGATGAAATTAAAACCTAAACCATAAACAGCAATGGTATTACCGCATTATGATGACCAATGATTTGCGTCGCATCATTTAAGTTGGTACACATTTGACACCACTTGCTACCTAATCTTATGAAATTTCCAATCTAAGATTGAGTGCACGCAAGTATGACTTTTTAAGTATAGTTACGGCTTCAGACTACAACCCGGTCAATCAGCACGAACTCAGTTGTTGAGTGTCGTCATTGCTTGGAGAGCCTTAATTCTGGCAGTTCATCTTGTATTCGACACTTGGAAACGAGAAAGTAACTGGAACCGAAATGTGTCTAGCAATTACTTGTGGGATCGTTACCGCGCTGGACAGCAACTGGACATATTTTTTTCCCTGTCCCCATTGACAGTCCCACAAGTCTTTGCCAAAAATAACTCGACACATTTATACTGAGTGGATTTAACCGGCTCTTACAATTTATGCCTTTAACTCATTGCCGGAACAAAAGGTCAAGATGGCTGAAATTGACCAGGTTGGTTTTTCCTTTTTATATTTGCCAAGACAAAGATGAGTTTCACAGGAACAGCGCAAAAAAATGTAGTAGAAGAGGAAGGATCCCAAACTTTTAGCCGTCGTAACTGAACAAACCTGGTCATAATATGGCCAAAGCAAACTATTTTGCTATGGACCAAAGCGGAGCAGTCTCGAGTGGCAAAATAGGCCCTAAATGCTCGCTCGGGTAGACAATCCAGACAATCCGAAAACAGGATTAATTCCCTTTTTCTTGCCCACTGGCAGGCCATTCTGACAGCCCACATACAGTTAATTCTGAACCTGAAATTTTTAATTGATAAAGTGACAATTCGAATAGGATTGGTTTCATCATGTGACACTTGTTAGAATGTATGTTTACAAGTGCCCATTGCAGATCAAGTGATGTTTGTAAGCAAATTGATCTTTTGCCTTGCAATAAATAAAGGATGTATGCAAGTGATTATCTTCAATTTCTAAAAGACTGTGAGAACTCCCTTTTTAGTCAGTGTAGGCTTGGCAGAACTGGTTAAATACCTAACCCCCCACCCCCCCTTCCCCCCCCCTTCCCCCGCCCCCCCTCCGCCCAATCCCCGTTTGCCTCCCTTGCCAGCCACCATAGCCCACGTTCAACGAATTAATACAAATTCTAAGTAACATGACTCCAAGGCTTTAGGGTGGAAATTGCAAATTTTTCACGACTCAATTGTCTCGCAATTTCCAGAAAAAGTTGACCACGAAGAAAACCAAACCAAAATGAAAAATAACCAGAAAGCCTCGGATTCATTGTAGAATTTTAATAAATCGAACGTAGGCTATTGGCATAAAATGGGCTTACCTCTTATTTGTGTTAACCTAATAATATTTTAGGATTATTACGCGCGAAGATTAACATTCCTTGCTCTTTGAAAACTTAGGGGCGAGATCACTTATCTGTATATAAGAGGGGTCTTAAAATAACTTACTTATTTTCACTGAAAGTTTGGATTAAGCCGGTAAGTAGCCTACGTCGAAGACGTACTTTAACATTGGTTAGTGACGGCTGCGAAGCATCGCCGAGATATATTCTCGTTGTAGGCCCCCAACGGACTCAACGAATTACCGGAGGTGCGTTTGGGATTTCCTTTACTACTGATTGTCAAATTAACGACGTCTTTTTTCACAGGCCAATCATTGCGAGTCATGAGTATTCAAATCTTGGTACACAGTTGGGGTCCAGAACAAGGATTTAGGCGCTGTTTTGTAGACCGACTTAACCAGAGTTAAGTTTTGTCTGTGGCGCAGGCTAGCTGGTACGTAGATTACCAGATTTATGTTTAAAATCGCACCCTGGCCATAGTTGTAAGTGCAAAATGTCTTGGGCAGTTTTCTTGCGAAGAATATTAATTCACTAAAGGGGTGATTCTGAAGAAACAAGCCGGTCAAATTTAATTGATCTTTCGATAAGAGGACGATATCGTTCTTGTAGCAACCAGAAACCAGGCTCCAGAGGGAAACAACACAACGAAAAGATACTGGGAACCAGTGTAACTGATCATCTTTAAAGGAAAACTTAATAGTTATATATTAAAACACCTGTTATACCGTTAAAGTGATCCGTGAAAAAATGTTACTGTGCCTTGTACTCGTCTTTGCCGAAACTGCATCGGGCTTAAGCCGTATTTCAGGACCTGGTTTTCAAGCTGTTAACTTTGCTAAGGCCAAAGAGGGACGAAAGTTGAATGGAAGCGTGATAAAAGAAATGCAAGTTGATACAGAGGGTGCGTGTAGGCGTCAATGTGTCATTGACGAGCAATGCCGCTCTTACAACTTTGGACTCAAGAGGAATAAAGCTCGGAATTTCCTGTGTCAGTTAAATGGTTCCGATAGATTTGTTGGTTTTGGTAACTTCACAAAAGATGACAATTTCAAGTACAGAGGAATGGAGGTAATTAACCATCAAAAGAGAAATACCTAGTTAAGGTGTTTCGATATAGTTTTTCAAAAGCCATACCGATATTTTTCAATCGCTTTAAAAGCGATTTTATCCTTGTCTGATAGCTATAAAAGTTGCACCAATGATAAACTATAGATTGAAATTTGGCAAAATGTAGGTTTTAATAAAATCGATGTTACTATGACAGCAATAAACAAAAAACTTTGAAATTGATAAAGCCGAATTTTGAGCGATCTAGACCAGCTACTGAAAATCCAACACTAGGAACTTAAAGTTTGGTAATTAGCAAATACCCTTCGTGGGAAGTAAAAAATTCTGAATGTTTGAATTCGATTAAAACGAAAATATAGTTCAGACCTTAAATTGTCAATAGCCGTGATAAATTATTTAATAAAACGTTATAAATGACACAAATTAAATTAAATTCTTAAGTAGCGTCAGAATGCTGCTTAATATCATATTTCGATGCTCGGAAATTTTGGTGTATTTTCGTTCTTGCGATCACTTAAAAACTAACCCTTTTCTCAACACCTGTCTAAGTGCAACTTCATTCAAGATTTGGACTTTTAGCACTTTTTTGTATATCTCTAAAACGACTCGAACCATTTTTTTTTAAATCTCTTCACATAATCTTCATTATTATATGGCTGAGTCTGTTTTCGCCATGCGATTGGTCAATTTGCGGTCCGTAACTTGCTATACGGACCAAAATTTTTAAAGAAAAGGTTCATTTCGGAGCTCTAAGTCTCTTTACCTAGGAAAAAAGATTTAAATAAAGTTATAAGACGCCTGTCAACCTTGAAGACTTGGGTGTTGACTTTGGCCTTCAACATTTTAAACTGTGTTTATTTGTGAACGAAGATGATGAAGAAACAGAAACTCATAGAGGGTTGAACAACCCCTTATGAGTTTCTGGAAGAAACTAACTCGTAATCTTATCGACGAAGATTCTAGTCAGTGTTTGAAAATTTTATTGTAGTACACAGTTAAGAAGACGAAAATCGACTGGCAGAGATTCGAGATGTTTTGGCTAAGATAAAATGAGTAATTCCTTCAACAAATATGATAACAAACATACCTGCACTGATCATCTTGAGAAGCTTCTTTGCCATTTTATTTTAAAAAAATTAGTTCGAGTCGTTTCAGAGATATACAAAAAAGCGCTAAAAGTCCAAATTTTGAATGAAGTTGCACCTAGACAGGTGGTGAGAAAACGGGTTAGTTTTTAAGTGATCGCAAGAACGAAAATACACCAAAATTTCCGAGCATCGAAATATGATATTAAGCAGCATTCTGACGCTACTTAAGAACTTAATTTAATTTGTGTCATTTATAACGTTTTATCAAATAATTTATCACGGCTATTGACAATTTAAGGTCTGAAATATATTTTCGTTTTAATCGAATTCAAACATGCAGAATTTTTTACTTCTTACGGAGGTTATTTACTAATTACCAAGCTTTAAGTTCCTAGTGTTGGATTTTCAGTAGCTGGTCTAGATCACACAAAATTCGGCTTTATCAGTTTCAAAGTTTTTTGTTTATTGTTGTCATAGTAATATCGATTATACTTAAATCTACCTTTTCACAAATTTCAATCCATAGCCAATTACTGGTGAAAATTTTATAGCTATCAGACAAGGATAAAATCACTTTAAAGGCGATTGAAAAATATCGGTATCGAAACACCTTAACAATGGCAACATGTACAATTTTTTGCTAGTTAAAAATATTTTTTGTCAGAGTGTCTGCTAGTCTGAAAGCTTTTTAATATTCAACACTTTGACCGGTTTCAAACTTTCTTTGTAACAACGCGCAACAATATTCAACAGAGTGTGCAGACGGACGCAACATATAACATCCAATAATCTTGGGAGTTGTTGGCCAACAATGTTGTGTCCGCTTGCACGGGGCTTTAGTTATTTTCCTTGCCTTAAAACAGAGTGTCTGCGAGTCTAGCAACGTGGACCTTTGCGGCGACAAAGGAATCTGCCTACCAGACTACTCCAAAGACAGCTTTACATGTAAATGTGACAAAGGCTACACAGGAACACGGTGCGGTAAGTTACAAACGTCCCATCCCCTGGATCTCTTCCACCTTGGGGGTTTGAAGACGAAAGATTCTAATCATTTGTGCATAAAATGTGACTTGAAGTTGTTTATTTATCTGTTAGCATCTTATTATTCCGAAGTAGTCTTTTACTCGTTTTTATATTAAGTTCAAAGTTAGGGAGAGAAAAGCTTTCTCGTGGTCCAAAGAATGTTCAGCAATTATTAAACTGGGCATGGTAGGATATGAAGAACTATGCAGATCGAGGATTCAAAATAATTCCAAGTTAAGAAACAAGTTAAAGGGAACCTCCACTTCAACAAAAAGATAACTTTAAATCACAGGAAATAACTGTTACAGTCAAGTCAACCTAAAATATTTTTAAAGAAAGCGTTTGTATCGGAAAGAAATAACTTTTAGATTCACCTATTTTTGTTTTCAAATTTTGCGGGCGTCGCCATCTTGAATAATTGTGACGTGTTATGGTGCCCTATTGTTATTAAACAAAAGCTCTTTGTGTCAGAACAATAGAGCAACCGTAACACGTCACAATTATTCAAGATGGCGGCGCCCGCGAAATTTGAAAGTGAAAATAAGCGATTTTAAAATTCACTTTTCCTGATATAAAGACTTTCTTTAAGGACAAATTTTGAACAAATTTGTTTATCAACATAATTTTATTCGATTTAAACTTAATCTGTAGTAAGAGTGGAGGTTCCCTTTAAAACATGTTTATCTCCGTGGATGTTACGTTTATATCGATAATGCATCTTTATCGGGAAGTTTAAATGATAAGGGCTGTTCAGGTCTGCAAATATTCTCCAAATAGCAGATGTCGTTCTTCGAGTTGTTTTCTTGCTGTTCTTACTATGTTTTTAGACAATAGTTCAACGTGAAACGAGTAAAATGTTCCGCCATCACTTACTTCGCCATTACTCACTTCGAAAACAACTCAAACTTGTTCCCAGGTCTTCTTGGTTAACGGTTCAATAACCTGCATTTTCACCGCACTTTTGACGTCATCGGTTCGATATGCCAAAAATTTTCCAAATTTGGTCAACAGTAGCTGGTTATGATGAATTATGCGTGTGATTTTAGTCAATCAGAAACAGAGAAATATTTTGAATGAATAATATATAATTTTATATGCGTGTATTAAGTTTAAACATAAGTTTATTTGCATAACCTAAAATACCGTCAACTCTTTCTGAGACGGACAGTCAGGGCTTGTCCCAAAGATGTCCGTCTTAGAGAAGGGTAATTTTAAAGTTGAAACTATACGCGTTGAATAAACGTCTGTTTAACTTGCACAAAACAGCTACAGCTGGAACACTGCAACAAAATTGGAGTTCTTTTCTTATTGTGCAATCAGACGTTCATTACAATCAAACCGCTTTCACGGCTTCGTGGTCTAAAAGCTTAACACTTTTCGCTCTGTTAACTACCAGAGCAAAACTACTTAAAATATCAAACATTTTGCAGTTTAAGTTACTGTCATGTAGAGCACCTACATTTCCGTTTTGAGGTCGTTGTCACCACATAAAGCACTTCCAAATTTGGCCGTTGACGGTTTCAAAAGTGTCGGTTGTCCGTCTTAGAGAGATGTCCGTATTATAGAGAGTATGGTTACAGTAAAATGACTGGGACCAACTTTAGGCGCCCGTCTTACGGATGAATCCGTATTATAGAGAGCATGGTTACAGTAAAATGTCTGTGACCAACCCTAGGTGTCCATCTTAGAGAGGTGTCCGTATTATAGAGAGTATGGTTACAGTAAAATGACTGGGACCAACCCTAGGTGTCCATCTTAGAGAGGTGTCCGTATTATAGAGAGTATGGTTACAGTAAAATGACTGGGACCAACCCTAGGTGTCCATCTTAGAGAGTTGTCCGTATTATAGAGAGTATGGTTACAGTAAAATGACTGGGACCAACACTGGGTGTCCATCTTACAGAGGTGTCCGTATTATAGAGAGTATGGTTACAGTAAGATGACTAACGTTACAGTAAAATGACTGGGACCAACCCTAGTTCTTACTAGACAGAAGGCCGTCTTTTAAAGTTGTCCGTTAAGAGAGAGTTTACTAAAAACCGAAAGGGAGATGGAAGAATTTGAGACAGTACTAGAAAGCTTAAGGCGGCTCGGTTATCTCAAATTTTGGGTCAAAACTTTTTCAGCTTTAACGCAAAGGCTGAGAAAGTTTAAAAAGTCCGAATATACAATTATTTTTGAAAAGGGAAGTACAACCTGTTTCACGATGTGTCATCTTGACGCGCATATATCATATAGTTTACGACTCTAATTTTAACTCATTTGAATTAAGAGTTGTAAAATAGTTTCCAAATAATGATATTTGTCAACGATTATCTGGAAAAAAGTTCACACCCAAACTCTTTTGCCTCTTTTACATTCCAGAATTAATCATAGAAGACTGCTCTAAACTTGGTCAAAGTGGTTTGGCATCTACTGGAATCTACTACATCAACCCAGATGGTGGCAGCCCAATACAAGTACTGTGTGACATGACTACAAACGGTGGAGGTTGGACCGTCTTTCAGAGACGTTTAGACGGTTCGGTTGACTTTTTTCAGGGCTGGAAATCATACAAAAATGGGTTTGGAAATTTAAGCGGTGAGTTCTGGCTTGGAAACGACAATCTTCATCGCTTGACAGCCTCTGATGACGTCATGCTTAGAGTTGACCTGGAGGACTTTGACGGCAACATAACATACGCAGAGTATACAACATTTCAAGTAGCGAACGAAGCAGATAAATACAGGATTGCGATTGGAGGATACAATGGTACGGCTGGTGACTCGATGGTAGATGACGGAGGGCACACCCAAAGGTAAGCAAATATTTCGGTGGTAATTAATTTGTAGCAACAGAAAAAGACACACGGTCAACACAGCGCTTATAAGCTCTTCCACTTTATTATAAGCCACCTCCGGACCAGTTATAAACCCATCTATAGACCCGTAAACCAAAACATACATCCAATTACAAGCCTCCGGATATAAGCCCCTTACGAATCTATTGAATTCGATTTATTATGACATTTTGAAGGTTAATTTAAAAAAAAAAGTAAATGCAAGACCTATTAGGACTGCTATATCTTGTTTCAAGGCGCTGTTTCTATTTCGGGTATAAAACAGCTCGGATATAAGTCCCTCCGTTTATAAGCCCTTCTTAAACCCCTGACGAAGATGTATAAGCCCAGGGATAAGCGGCCGTTTTATGGTATCAAATCAACAATCTTTCAGTAATATAATTTCCTTTTAAGCCCATCTTACACTGCTGCAAGAGCCCATAACCCGGAGTGAGCAACTCCCATGCGAGGCCTATGTCACGGCGTTTTTACGGACCAGTTTATTTTTAGACACATTTTAGGGCACTTTTTCCCGCGAAAATAGAATCTCGACCATGTCTATGAGAGCATTCGTTAGGTCTGTAGGTTTTGCTGACCGGTTTGTGGAATTTAAAAGATGTTCAAAATTGGGCGCTAAAACCGTTCTAAAAATTAACTGGTCCGTGAAAACGCCGTGACACGAGCGCATGGAAGTTGCTCACTCCTGACTGCTGTTACGATTCTTTTTACCCTTACGATAAGTGATCGCCAGCGCCGACCACCTTAGATACCTTCTCCCTCTTATTCAAATCATCTATTAGTTGGTTAAGTCTCGTATACTCTTAAGCGACCACAGCCACATAAGAAGCATCTGTATCTGAACTGAAGGGTGCAGCAGTGAGCTGTAATGCACAAAGCCTTCACTTCGGAAGCATGATGCCTATTGCGCGAATGTAAGGATGGAAAGTTTTGCTTGAAGAATCCGGAATCCGGAACAAATTCGCTTGTGGAATACGGAATCCTGGTCTTTGGAATCCGGAATCTAGCTCAATGAATTCGGAATCCCACCAACAATTGGAATCCTAAATCCAAGTTCCAGTTTTTTAAAAAATGAGGAATCCAGTACTGGAATCTGGAAATCCACAGCGTGGAATCCAAAATCCAAGACCGTCCCTTACATGGGGTGACTCGAAAATTTGAACTCCAAATCCACCTTGAAATCCATCTCGAAATCCATCTCGAAATCCTAACTCGGTAAATAAATAACCTCCTGACAAACAAATCTCTTTGTAAAATTTGTGCCATTATCAAACTGTGACCTTTTCCTGCAGTAACTTACAGTTTTCAACCAAAGATGTCGACAATGATCGGGCCCCTGCCAATTGCGCTGTTTCAAAGAAAGGAGCATGGTGGTACCATTCCTGCACTTTGGCCAATCTAAATGGTTTGTATCGTCGGGGATCTTATAACACCAGGCACCCTAACGACGGAGTAAGATGGGTCACGTTTAGAGGACATTATTATTCGTTGAAACGCACTGAGATGAAATTAAAACCTAAACCATAAAATGCAATGGTATAGGCTCTTTGCATGATTTGATCACGTGATCAACTTTCGGTAAACACGAAAATAGGTCACTTTTGAAAAATTTTGTTAGCACAAGCTGAAAGAGCATACTAAAATTAGGTAACCTGAGCATTTTCAGCCTTATATCTCAAAAGTAGTGATTGCAACGGCCGCCGAAAGTTGGAGGCATTTGTATGAGAAAAACAACTTTTGCCATCCAGTCACCCTTGCATGGTTTTCCATACAACTCCTTGTAATTTCGAAATTTTCAAAACTGTCATGAAATATTTCCTTAAGCATTTTAAGGCTCAAATCTCCTTTTAATTCATAACAGGCAATTTGTGCCCTTAAATGCGTAATGGAAAGATTTAACGACAGTTTAAAAATAGTAGAACATACAGGGATTTGTATGGAAAACCATGCAAGCGTGACTGGGTGGCAAAAGTTGTTTTTCTCATACAAATGTAGCCTGCGAGCAAGCTCTCTTATTTGAGCGAGTGAAACGAGTCTCCCGAGAAAGCGCGAGCGAGCGGCGAAGCCGCGAGGGGCAGAGCTCGCGCGTTCTCGCGAGGCTCGCTTCGCTTGCCCAAATAGGAGAGCTTGCTCGCAGGCTAATACAAATGCTTCTAACTTTCGGCGGCCGTTGCAATCGCTACTTTTTAGATGTAGGGCTGAAAATTCTCAGGTTTCCTGATTTTAATATGGTCCTTCAGCTTGTGCTAACAAAATGTTTCCAAAGTGAACTGTTTTCGTGTTTACCGAAAGTTGATCACGTGATCACAGTCATGCAAAAAATCCTATTACGGCATTATGATGATTTGCGTCGCATCATTTAAGTTGAAATGGTACACATTTGAAACCATTTGCTACCTAATCTTACGAAGAGTGCATCCTATATGACCTTTTAAGTACAGTTACGGCTTCAGACTACAACTTGGTCATACAGAACGTACTCGGTTATGGATGGATGGCCTTAATTCTGGCAGTTTATCTTGTATTCAACACTTATTTTTTAGAAAGGAGAAAGTAACTGGAGCCGAAATGTGTCTAGCAATTACTTGTGGGATCGTTACCGCGCTGGACAGCAATTGGACAATATTTTTTTCCCTGTCCCAATAACATTCCCAAAAGTCTTTGCCAAAAATAACAAGGTGCATTTGTACTCAGTAGATTTAACCGGCTCTTACAATTTTTGCCTTTAACTTATTGACGAAACGTAAGGTCAAAATGGCTGAAATTGGCCAGGTTTGTTTTTTCTTTTTTATATTTGCCAAGACAAAGACGAGTTTCACAGGAACAGCGCAAAAAAATGTATTAGAAGAGGAAGGATCCCAAAATTTTAGCCGTCGTGACTGAACAAACCTGGTCATAATATGGCCAAAGCAAACTATTTTGCTATGGACCAAAGCGTAGCAGTCTCGAGTGGCAAAATAGGCCCTAAATGCTCCGCTCGGGAAGAACAATCCGAAAACAGGATTCCCTTTATCTTGCCCACTCGCAGGCCATTTAGACAGCCAACTTCAGGTTAATTCTGAACCTGAAATTTTTAGTTGATAAAGTGACAATTCGAATACGATTGGTTTTATCATGTGACACGTGTTAGAATGTATGTTTACAAGTGCCCATTGCAGATCACGTGATGTTTGTAAGCGAATTGATCTTTTGCTTTGCGTTTAACGAAGGATGTATGCAGAAAGTATGATTATCTCCAATTAAGCAATAGACTGTGAGAACTTCCTTTTTAGTCAGTGCAGGCTTGGCAGGACTAGCTAGATAGCCAAAAGCCCCACACCCGCCTTCCTCCCCCACCTACCTCCCCCCCCCCCTACCCTCCGGGCCAACCCCGTTTGCCTCCCCTGCTAGCCGCAATAAAAACATTCTAACATGACTCAGAGGCTCTAGAGTCAAAATTGCAAAATTCTGACTCCCCTAACAAGAGATTTAACGAATTTAGGATGCGTCAGTCAGTCATCTGATGCAGATGTATCAGCAATGAAATCCTTCTAGCAAAATACTAATATATGTTCTAAGCTAGAACTTGTGCCACGCCAGATACGAAAAACCACTAAAAAGCCACCCTTGAGAAGTGGCCAAAAAATGTGCAGAAATGTGTTCCCCTACTAATGCTATGGTACGTAAAACCCCAGGGAAAAGAAATCAAGGCAAGATTTCTGTATAACCCCATAAATTAATTATGCATACATCTATTATTCAAAGAGAACAAAACGAAAACTATCAGAAGGACAGAGCTGACGTAGAATGGCACAAGTCTCGCGCCAAAACCATAAATAGCCCGATACTATCCCAGGAACACCAGAGCGCCTCTATACCGTGCCGTCAGAATATCAATTTCTGACAAATTCGTTCCCATGTTTCTCAATCGTCAAAAACTACATTTTTTCAGGACTCCATTGTCTCACAACTCCCAGAAGAGAATTGAATACAAAGAAAACCAAACCAAATGTAGAAAAATGACCAGAAAGCCTCGGATTCATGGTAGAATTTTAATATCTCGAACGTAGGCTATTGGCATAAAATGGGCTTACCTATTGTTTGTGTTAACCCAATAAAGTTTTAGGATTATTACGCGCGAAGATAATATTAGAATGCGGAAATAGAGCATCTACCCGTAGTTTGTTAATCTTTTTTAATTAATTGTTCATTAGCTTTTTAATTTTCATAATCGTAGTTTCAGCATTTAAATTCAATTGTAACTGAAGTTTGTCTTTTATACATGTAATTTTTAGTTATTTCGCACATTACCTAACCTAATGAGTCCTGTAAATCAGTTCTGAAAAACCCAACTGGGAGAATAAAAAAATGTATCAATTTGTATTGTACAACTACAGTGGAACCTCGGTTTAACAAAGTGCTAACTAAAGAGACTGGGGGAAATTTTTTCGTTATACCGAGGGTTCGTTATATCGACAACCCGGACTGAACCAATTTTTTGAAAAAAAAAAAAAAAAAAATGTTCATTATATCGAGGTATAGTTAATGATTAATTTCCAACGCTCACCATTTCAGGATCTGAACAATTTCTGTAATAAAGATTTTGTATACGAAGCTATTGTCTCAGTTCAGAGCTGTACATCATAGCTACAGCACTAGAATCACAAGAACAGGCTGACAACTACTGTACACATACATTTTATCCTCACTGGTCTGTTTCGCATTCATCTTTAGCAATCTTTCGGTCACATGTTGACATGTTATATTTTCCGTTTCGTTTCTTTATTGTGTTCGTTATACCATACATTTTATTGTACCTTTGGCCGGGTTGAAGAAAATCGTTTGTTATACCGAGGACGTCGTTATATAGAGGTTCGTTAAATCGAGGTTCAACTGTACAATGGGGGTAACGCAGGTGACAATTAGAGACCTTTAGATTCAAAGACGAGGACGACTACGAGTACGAGATTTGACTTTAAGTTTTTTTGCGTATTCTAAAAATATAGACTCCTCACCGGTAAGCTTCATTCTACCATTTTTAAATAGAAAAGTTAGCACTGTTATCTTTAGTGAAGGAGGTTACTCCCTCGCCCGATCGCAAAATGATAATGACTTCTAACATTTGATAACTTGTTTTCGCCACTTCGCATTCTCGCTAAGACTCGTAGTAGGGTGACGACAGCTACCACGTTTTCCCGCCAAAATGACGCTGGTTTACGCCCGCTTACTACTTAGTACTTAGTACTCCATGTCGTACTCGTCTTAGAATCTAAAGGTCTCTAATAGCTTGTGCAAAAACCACGTCCTTTTTAGCCTCTGTTCACACTACACAGGATAAGCTATCGACTCTATCGATACATCCAGTACAGAATGATCAGCAACGCGGATCCAGAACTGGAACAACTCGTTCACACACATCGAACATCGTACCAAAGCTGTTGACCGAGAGGGCTTGGTGAACTAAATCCCAGTCCTATCTCCTGAATATTTTTTTTCCATCTCAGTGGACTCCAGTCCTCGCTCCCACTTATTCACTCCCGTGATCCTCCCGTGACAGTCCAAATACCTCAGTGTTCACACTGCACCAAAGTATGGCACTGAATCTATCTCATGCTCCGTTCCAGTAATCGTGTGAACAGAGGCCCTATTTGGAATGGTTTTCGCGCCTGCGCAAGAGCTACCCGATATGGTGTGAAAATAGCCTTAGTTAGATGCATCTCTACACAGATGAGCAGTTCCTTTCTGAGCACTTCAGGCTGCATTATTACTGTTATTTTAAAAGTAATACAAAATTTGTTTCCAAACAACTTAGGGCCATGCTGTTAAAGAGAGTATTGGTAACGACAAGTTTCAGTGCAGCGAAGCGTTGCATCATTTTTGCGAACTTGTTTGGACTTTTTACACCATTATTGTCCTAGAAACTGTCGTTACAAAGCATTTCGTGTAATATCACCTTTACTCTAATACTATATATAAACAAATATATACAAGCCTTGACAATTAGAAATAAAATTTTCATCAGCTATATACTAAAGCCGTCATGAACGAGGCTGGGGTTGCAGAAGGCTAAAGTAAAGGCAGCAACATCTTGTCAATGTTTAATGATCCGTCATTGTGGCTGAAACGTCACTGAAAAATATAAGGGAGGCTTAGCTTCAATTTCTGTCATCAGTATTGCGTCTTCGCCACCAAATATTGTTACGCCACACATAACACCCATTCTTCCCCGATTCACCCCGAAAAAAATGGGTTAGGTTTTTAATGGGTCCTGACCAAGGTCGAGTCACCATGTCCGCAGTTGATAAATACGATAATTTTCATTTCACAGTAGACTTTCTCAAAGTCTTTCGCTACTCATTTCCGGTTCCGGTAGTTTCCGCTCTCTAGCTCGCTTTTGTCGCAGAAAACATAAAAAATCTAACGCTCGCACTTCGCGGTCGTGAAAACATTTGAGCTCGACTTGCAGGCAAATGTAATTTCACAGCTACCAACGCAGCTGCGCAACACAAATTTCTAAGAAGCTTACCCACGGCAGTTATCCATGAGAAGTATGCATGCTAGTTTTCATTTGATTCCCTTGCATTTTAGTCACTTGGTTGTATATCGCTGTATATCTTCTTTTTTTTTAAATTTTGAACCCGTCTTTGAAAACCGCGAGAGCAGTAGTTCCTGGGTTAATGTTTATTACTTCTCACGGAATGACTCTCATACCTTGTCCCCTGAATGTGGAATAACTATTTATTTATTTATTTATTTATTTATTTATTCATTTATTTTGTCAATGCGTAGTTTGTCTCAGTTTCATTAGCAGTCTTTCTCTTCTTTTCCATCGACTGGAAACATTAACACGCGATCATTATTTTACATTACCACAGAGCACAGAAACTCACCTTTGTTGGCCCAGAGTCAATGTCACGTCATCGCCAATCAGCATAAATGGTGCCCAGTGCTTAACCGCTTTGAAAAGTTTAGACTTTTGCATCCATTTCATGGCCTGATGGAGGGACATACTTGCGCTTTGCCCTGCCGCCAAATGTTCATAAAAGACTTTCATAAACGCCAGAGTGGCCTTGTCGTCAATTGACCACAGAGAAGCAATAACAGAACGCGCACCAGCTCCTAGAAAGGCACGTGCAATTCCAACCACGCCTTCTGATTTGATCTCCCCTCTCCCACTGTTACAGCAGCTCAGGACAACAAGCTTGGCGCGCAATTTGGTGTTTAGTACATCTGCCCTTGTCAAAAGAAAGTCTTCCTCTTTGGGCCTTTGGGGACCAGGAAGATTAGGAGACAAGATAATTTCCCCGGTTTCGGCTCGACCATGAGCTGCGATATGGACTAAGCACACTGAGTTGAGCCTGCTTAACACTTGATCTTTTGAGGCTTTCTTTCCAGTGAGGGGCTCAGTGTTAAGTATCTGTCCAATCATTTTTACCTCTTCCTCGGCACCAGGGAGCTGCGGAAACGGTCTGCAGCCTTTGAGGCGCACAGTTTCGACCCACGGATTGCCAACAAGCAGTGCACCAGATGAACTATGATACTTTTCCGGACACTCTGCCAAAAGCATTAAAATGTTTAGAGATGGAACTATGCGAATTCTCAGTGTTTCAGACAAAAATCTGGAATGTTGGTCTACCAGGGCAGCGTAAGGAATCAAGAACGACGGACCATCGGGGACAATGATAAGCTCGTCACCTTTTATCAAGTGTGAAATCGGAGCGATCACTACGTCAGACAGTGCTTTTAAATCTTCTTGCGATGACGTTGATTCTTTCCCTTCTGTACAAGCCCTATCAGGCAACCCTTTCTTCTCTTCATCTAAAGGATCGTCCAAGAAGCGTTCCTCGCATCTGAAACCTCTCACACCAATTTGTTTGTATGTTTCGTTCTTCAAACTGGTTAAGGTCTGATTGATTTCTTTTTGCACAAACTGACATTGCTGTCCCTTCAGTAGTACCCAGAAGTTCAACGTCCGGTAGTGTTCCGCTAGAAATACCGTTGATGATGAAGTATGGCTTGAAAAACGAGATATTCTTTCTATCAGGTCTTCCGAAGATGACTGGGCCAATTTCACTCCATAGTTTGATTCCATAAGGTCCCTGAGAGCTTGTGCTCGTCCACGTTCAACTGTAAAAAGTGCCTCGGTGGTCTTGCCTTGTAATAAAAGATGACACCATAAATTACATTTGGGTACATTTTTATCTTGAAAGTTGATTTTCCATTCATCTTTACTATTTTTGAGAAGGACTCTTGTTTCTTCAAATACTTTCATACTGCATTTTAAAAGCTCCTCAGCTCTAGCGAAGTTGCTAAGAGAAATAACTACCACACTTAGCTCAACATTCGCCCATCCTTCTAAGAGTTTGAGTCCGATCTCTTTAGCTTTGCTCAGAGCTTGCTCAAGGAATTCGTTTGCCTTCTCGAAGTTCTCCCAAGCACAATAAACAAGGCCCAAACTGAAGTACATACGTCCTTCTAACTCTTTGTCTCCAGTCTCTTTTGCGATTCTAAGAGCTTTCTGCCCGAACTCGAATGATGCTTTGAGATCACCGAGATGGACATACAAATCAGCAAAGCTCGCATATGCACCTCCTTCTAAGTTTTTGTTTTCGATTTCTTTACTGATTTTCAGCCCTTTTTGAGAAAACTCGGCTGCCATTTCCAACTTACGGAGAATCAGATACACACTAGCAAGGTTTAGATACATGCGTCCTTCGTCAGCTCTTTGTCCGCACTTTTGATAGATTCTCAGACTTTGCTGCCCAAACTCGACTGCCTTTTTGGGATCGCCGAGATCATAATACAGACGCCCAAGCTTTTCATACGCAGAACCCTCTAATACTTTACTTCCAATCTCTTTTGCGATACTAAGTTTCTTCTGAATGAAATCGAATGCTTTTGGGAAATCATAGAGCCTAATACACGCAGAACCAAGGTTCCCATACGCCGTTCCTTCTGACTCTTTGTCTCCGACCTCTTTGGCGATAACTAGACCTTGCTGCTGAAACTTGATTGCTTTTCTGATATCACCGCGTTTTCTATACACACAGCCAAGGTTGATGCAACCCGTTCCTTCTGATTTTTTATTTCCAATCTCTTTTGCGATACGGACAGTCTCCTGAAGGAAATCGATTGCTTTTGGGAAATCATAGTTAGAATAATACGTATTACCAAGGTTCCAATACGCTGCTTGTTGTAACTCTTTGTCTCCGACCGTTTTAGCGATAGCTAGACCTCGCTGATAGAACTCGACTGCTTTTCTGAAATCACCGCGAGAGTTATACCCACAGCCAAGGCTGATGTATACCCATCCTTCTAATTTTTTATCGCCAATCTCTTCTGCGATGCTGTGAACGGCATTGATGTAATCTTCTTCACTATATGCTTCATTACCTTCATCATTGCACACCTCCGCTATTGCTAAAAACAAAACAATTTGAAAATCGGGAATGTTTAGTGCACCAAAAGGAGCTTAATACATTATGTACTTCTTTTCTTTGAAAGGTTGTGTCCATTGTACAGTTCAAATTCAATTTCTGCTCTTTATTTTTACTATAGCCTGCGTTGCAGCAGGCCCTCGCGTTATCTATACAGCTGACAAAAGGTTTAGAGTGTCTGCGATGCAGGCTATTTTGAATATGACATTAGAAAATTTCAATGTCGTGTATTTCAGGATTGTTGTCTTGCAACCTCGAGCGCTTACCATTTGTACGGAGATTTCGGTGAAAAATTTCCGTCAAATAGTACTGGTATAGTTTTGGGCACTGGAACAGGAACAGGATTGAGTTGTATCATTTACAAAATACCGGTAAATTTTTCGCTTTCTCTCGACACTGGCACTAACAATCTAAACAAATGGTACAGAAAATTTCCTTCGTTTCGGTAAAAACGGGAAAAGGTAATACCTCAAAGGGTATTACTTTTTTCCGGAAAATTTCCACCGGGATGAACCGTTCCATTTGAATTCTTCCCGGAATTTCCGGGTTTTCCACACAAATGGTAAGCATGCCTCGTTCCCAGGGTTCTCTCCTACCCGTCCCTAAGGAGCGAGAGAAAGAGAGACGCTGGTGGTCACACAGGCGGCCCAGACGTAGTATGTGTCACTGAATGAATATATTAATATCCACATGGACAAATTAACGCGATGAGTCGTCGAAACTCCCATGGACTAAAATAGTCTAAAAGTCAAAATTTAACAAAACAAAGCTAAGATACCTTCAACTGAACGTATCCTTGTCTTTCCTGGCCGGTTTAAGTGGCATTTTGTTGAGTTTTGAAATTGTAGGTACTATCCACTAAAGAAGAATTAAAGGCTGGCTACAAAACAAACAGACCATCTCCACGCGCCTTCACACGAAGCGCTATAAATTCGAGAATAATCGTTGAATCCGCTCCAAATAACCATCGGCTAATCTGCAGGTAACGTGTGCTTCTGTCTCTGGCTCGCTTGCTCCACAAAACCCATCGCAACTGCACAATAATTGCTCGCTCATCAACAACCACTGTTGAACTTTACGCTTCGATATGACCGCAAACGACCAGGTTTAATACGCGACGTGAATATTCAAGCTTAGCGACCGCGTTCGCGCAACAATGCAGCACTTGCTATGGGAGGGATGGTACTATTGCTTCTAGGTCAATCGACTGACCGAAGGTTCGCTGCGTTAGTTTTGACCAGAAAACAAAAGACGATCGCGGGACCGTCCGTAAGTTTTCAACAGGGCAGCCCTGGTTTTCAAGTTCGAATTCCTCTAACGTTCGCTGTCTCAACTGCTGTCACATTGTTCGTCCAGCCGCTTGCATAGGTTCTTGACTCTACCAGACTTATTTGCTTAGATTAACAACGTCTTACTCCATAAATATGTTACTGGTGAAGGAGGACGAGAATTTTCCGCCCAGGAAAAAGGCAAAATCTGGCCCCCGCTATGCAGCTGAATAGAAGATACAGCTGAAGATATCGTATTAAAAGTAAAATTTATGTGCACGATATCTTTTATTATTATTATTATTATTCTCAAAACTCAGGGGCACCCAACGATGATTTCCCCCTAAATGCATTGAAAACACATTTAAGGCTGTCCAGAGTACATTTGACCGAAAAATGCATTCTAAACAGCGCTTACATAAATTTAGTCAGGAGGGCTAAAAGCAAAGCTAATGACTATAGTTTGCTCATACTAAATATAGAATATATCGTGTAATGCTAAGCGGAGAAGGCAACGAGACAGGGCCACCCAACGACTGTTTCCTCAAATACTTTCAATTGAAAACACTTTTGTAGCTATTCGTAAAGTACTTTTACCTCTATAGAAATGCATTCTAAGTGGCGCTACAAAATTTGCATCTCAGTGTTCGGCCATTCTACTGGAACTTGAGTCTTTTCGAAATTACGAGGAATTCAGAATTATTTTCCCGAAAATTTTAGATGCAATTTAACGTATTACGAAGGAGATAATTTTTCAGATACCTTCTTTCATCACATTTTTGAATCCGAAAATTTTAGGATTCCATTTTACTCTCTACGAAAAATAGCCTAACCCGGTGAGTGAAATGTGAAAAATTAAAAGTTGGATGCCCTTGACCAGAACTGTGAAAAACAACAATAGGTCTAATTGCAGCACACTTTCTTGTACATTTCCTTGCCGTTGATTTGCATGACTGCAACGTGAAACGTCCAGAAAACTTCCTGGTTTTCACTTTTTATGGAGAAAATGTGGTACATGTTCTTGTTCACTTTTTCCACTGCCGCTCATTTTTTTTAGCTCCGCTATAAGATTCGTATCTGTTCGGTGCTCCTAGGGCAAATTGGATCTTTTTAAAAATTACAAGGGCTTCAATATTATTTTCCTGATTGATTGACCTAGAAGCAATAGTACCATCCCTCCCATAGCAAGTGCTGCATTGTTGCGCGAACGCGGTCGCTAAGCTTGAATATTCACGTCGCGTATGAACCTGGTCGTTTGCGGTCATATCGAAGCGTAAAGTTCAACAGTGGTTGTTGATGAGCGAGCAATTATTGTGCAGTTGCGATGGGTTTTGTGGAGCAAGCGAGCCAGAGGCAGGAGCACACGTTACCTGCAGATTAGCCGATGGTTATTTGGAGCGGATTCAACGATTATTCTCGAATTTATAGCGCTTCGTGTGAGGGCGCGTGGAGATGGTCTGTTTGTTTTGTAGCCAGCCTTTAATTCTTCTTTAGTGGATAGTACCTACAATTTCAAAACTCAACAAAATGCCACTTAAACCGGCCAGGAAAGACAAGGATACGTTCAGTTGAAGGTATCTTAGCTTTGTTTTGTTAAATTTTGACTTTTAGACTATTTTAGTCCATGGGAGTTTCGACGACTCATCGCATTAATTTGTCCATGTGAATATTAATATATTCATTCAGTGACACATACTACGTCTGGGCCGCCTGTGGTGGTCAGCATAAGATCCCATCGGCCATAGCCCCTTTCTCCCCCTATGAAATTTACACAAGGTAGAACTTTTTTCTGCTTTTCTATCACACTTAGATGATATTTCGTATTAAAAGAGATTTCTTAAGACATAAAACGGCAAAAACGAACGATAAAATCCGACGTTTCGGAGTAGTCATGACCCCATTATCAAGGAAAAATGTTTTTGATCATGCAAATTACAGCATTTAAAGCGATGCGGCGCAAAAATTAACATAACAGGGTGCGCAGATTATGAAAATACTTTCACACGAATAGATTCTGATTGCACGTTGAGATTTGGTTTTAAGGTTCTTATGAAAAGCAAAATCGTGCATTTCGTACTCGTGCACGTTCTTGTAATGTTTGGCAATGGCGGAGGACTGTTGTTTATGTCCTTTTACACGATGTGTAAATGTTCGCGTGTGTAACCTACATAGCTTGCATCACACCGGTCACATTGGAATTTATAAACTACACACTGGTCATTTACGATCGGTGGCTTTGCTTCTTTCACATTCAGTTCTTGTTCAATTTTTCGGCTAGCAAACACAGGCTGGATGGTGGGGTTAACTTTTAGGTTCAGATCCTTGAGTTG